TCAGTCATTTACTATGTCAATTTTTGCCAGACCTGTGTACTGCTGAGTTTTTTTTACTTAATATTTTCATTTAAATCAATTATTTTTCATTTTTTAACTTATTTGAAATCATTATGGATTCAGCGATTTCGAAGATATTGTAGCGAGGTTCTGTGTACCCTTCACTCTGTTTCCTCCAATGGTTACATATAAGTATAGTCCAATATCAAAACAATACCAAATGTATAGTTCTATGTCATTTTATCACATGTAGATTCGTGTAACCACCTATGATCAAGATTCAGAACTATTCCATCAATACATAGAGCTCCCTCTGCTACTGGTTTGTAGTCACACCTTACCTTCCACCCTCCCACCATCCCTATCCCCTGGCAACCACTGATCTGCTTTCCATCTCTATAATTTTGTCATTTCAAGACTGCTATACAAACGGAATCATATGCTATTGACCTTTTGAGATTGGCTTTTTTTCCTATTCAGCACAATACCCTTGAGACCCATCCAAGTTGTTGCCTGTATCAATAGCTTGTCCCTATTTATTGCTGAATAGTGTGAAAATAAAGGGAAATCTCACTAAAAATGGAGTCAGAAGGCCAGAAGGAGGAGCTCTTGTGCAGTACCACTCCATGTCAATTACAGGAAGAATTGTCAATTACAGACCCCAACAGGAAAAGATGTACATTGCATCTTCTACAAGACATTGACTACCTCCCCAACTCAGCCAAACAGAAACCACCATCACCCTGAACTCTCACTTTTCTCCAACGGACTTTCATTCAGAACAAACCCTCTTAACTTCCTCCTTTCACTCTATAATGTTCCTCTCCTTTGTTTGTTGGACTTGCTTATGACTTGTGCTGTAGCTTGCTTATCCAGAATTGCAATTCCTCTGCCATTTCCAAACAAACCCATTTTTGCTAGTAAAATAACTTTATTTCTAAGGTCAACAATAGTAGTTTGCAGTATGGATATAAAACAGTTTGCTTCACCATCATTCGAGGGATATTGGGCTGTTTCCAGTTTGGGGCTCTTACAAATAAATCTGCCATGAACAATCATATATAGGGTTTTGCGCAGGCGTAAGTTTTTATCTTTCTGTGATAAATGACCAGGAGTACAATTGCTAGGTCATATTAGGTATATGTTTAGTTTTTAAAAGAAACTGTCAAACTATTTCCCAGAGTGTTTGTACCATTTTATATTCCTATCAGCAACACATGAGAGATCCAGTTTCATCTGTATTGCTATTGTCACTACTTTTTAGTTCACTACTTTTTAGTTCAGCTGTTCTAATAAGTATGTAGTGTTCTCTTACCATGGTCTGAATTTGCATTTCCCTAATGGTTAGTGATGTTGAACATCTACTCATTTTTAAAACCTAAACAAATGTATTTAAAAAGGCAATTTGCAGATATTTGGTCAAACATTTTTCTGGGTGTTTCTGTGAGAGTGTTTTGGGGTGAGGTTAACATTTAAATCAATAGTCTGAGTAAAGCCCTCCCTAATATGGGTGGGTCGGGGTGGGCTGCGGTTGGAAGCAGGGAGGGCTCATCCAACCCACTGAAGGCCTGATAACAGAAAGGATGATCCTCCCCCAGAAAGAGAGAATTCCTCCTGCCTGACTGCCTTCAAGCTGGGACACTGACTTCTTCCTGCCATCAGACTCAAACTGAAACCTCAGCTCTTCCTTGGTCTGAAGCCTGCCATCCTCATATTGGAACAACACCATCACATCACCTGGGTCTCCAACTTGCTGACTCACTCTGTAGATCTTGGGACTTGTCAGCCTCCATAATCTTGTGAACCGATTCCTTATAATAAATCTATTTTTATTGTATTTTATCATATAAAAAAATAATAAAAAGGCAATTTGGTAAGTGATTCTCAAAGTGTGGTCCCTGAACCAGCAGCAGCAACACCACCTGGGAACTTGTTAGAAATGCACATTATCAGGCTCCACCTCAGATCTACTGAATCAGAAACTCTGGGGAGAGAATTCCCTGGCAGTACAGTGGTTAGGACTCAGCGCTTTCACTACCGAGGGCCCGGGTTTGATCCCTGGTTGGGAAGCTAAGATCCCGCAAGCCACACAGCATGGCCAAAACAAACAAAAAACAACAAATGTAGTTTAATAAGCTCTTCAAGTGGAAAATCGGTATCATTTACTACAAATAGAAGGTAACTATAAAACTGAATGCATTTGCATGCCACCTAAAATCATCTTGTGTACCAACAGGTTCACACACCACATTTCGGGCAGGCCCCATTCATTACTCAACTCTGGGCACGCCATTCACACAGATTATGACAAGAATACCCCTCCTCCTCCCCCTGGAGCTGTGCAGTGCACAGCCTGCCCAGCTTTAGGTGGCAGCTCTGACTTTCAGACACTGATCCAGTACTACCCACACCCTTAATATGACCAAGAAAATCGAGGCTCTGAGGAGGGCAGAGACTTACCCAAGGTCACCCAGCAGTCTGGTTAGGCTCCTCTTCCAGTGCTCTCACCGCTGCTGGAACCCAGGGCAGGGCCCGCACAATTCCTGGCCTATTCAAAGCCTGCCACTAGTCACCACTGAGTGAAAAATTAGGTTCCAAAACAGAATATAGGATAGGATACTATTTTATAAAGCTTATTTTCACATTTGCTAAAAGGAAAAACGCTATTCTTCCACACTGAATACTCTGACATCAAACGTGTGGGTTTCTCCCCACACCAACCAATTCTCCAGCTGAGTGTCCTACAATTCAATTCAGTTCTGACACTGTCTACCAGAAGATAGCATCACACTACACAGGATAAGGCTCAGTCCCACAAGACTGCCCCTTACTTCAGACACCAATCGCCAAGTAGTCGGTCCCCCGGTCGGTCCAATTTGGCTGCAAATCAGGGTCCTCACCACCCCTTCCTTGGGTTAGATAATTTGCTACAACAGCTCACAGAAGCTAGGCAAACACTTACGCTCACCAATTTACTATATAATAAAGGATATGTAAATCCTTTCGTGAGGATCCATTGGAGGGCAAGTCTGGTGCCAGCACCCACGGTAATTCCAGCTCTAATCCTGCCAGTAGCATATGCTTGTCTCAAAGATTAAGCCATGCATGTCTAAGTACGCACGGCCAGTACAGTGAAACTGCGAATGGCTCATTAAAGGATATGATAAAGGACACAGATAAACAGCCAGATGAAGAGACACGTAGGGCAAAGGCTGAGGGGGTCCCGAGCACAGGAGCTTCTGTCCCCGTGGAGTTGGGGTGTGGTTCACAGATCATTATAGAGGCTTCATCATGTAGGCAGAATCAACAGTTAATTCACTCTGCAGCCCCTCTCCAAGCTTCTAATCATGGCTTGGTCTTCCTGGCGACCAGCCCCCATCCTGGAGCTACCCAGGAGCCCACCCAGAGTCACCTCTTTAGAACAAAAGAGGCTCCTATTGCCCAGGAAACTCCAAGGGATTTAGGAGCTCTGTGTCAGGAACCCACGGTGAAGACCAAATGTACATTTCTTATTGGGTCAGAGTTGCGTATGCATGGGAAAAAAGTCAGAAAGGGCTGTTAGAGTAGTTATTTGGGGAGAGAAGGGGTTTACTGATTTTTGTTTGTTTCTTTAACTTCTATTTTGTGATTTTTATTGCAATAATGTTTAGTTATATAATTCAAATGTACCAACTATCATTTTGAAAAATCAACATGAAACCATTACCTGTGATCCAGCCAGGGCCTGCAGTTGGCAGGGTCAGGAAGCCTTCCAGATAGAGCAGGGCCTGTCCCCACCCCAGTTTCAAAAGCTGGGCTCTGCCTGGACACCCTTGCCCTATGGTCGCCCACACCCCTTCCACATTCACACCTACCATCACCTGCTGTGAATGAGGCCTTCCCCTTCTCAACCCTGGGTGACCATACAATCAGAAGACATATGAGTCTGCCTGTCTGTCTGTCTCTAAACAGAAAGGGAAGGGACTTCCCTGGTGGTCCAGTGGTTAAGCCTCCACGCTCCCAATGCGGGGGGCCTGGGTTCATTCCCTGGCCAGGGGACCAGATCCCGCATGCTGCAACAAAAAGTCCCATGCGCCACAACTAAGACCCGGCACAGTCAAATAAATAAATATTAAAAAAAATAAAACAACCAACAGAGTTGGGGGAACTCCTCAGGGTGGGCACCCTGCTTGACCTATCACCCCAGAGCCTGACACAGAGAAAGAGACAGTGAGTATTTGGTAAATGAGTGAATGAAGGTGGAACTAATCCCAAAGAAGGTGATTTCCTAAGACCTTTCTCCAACAGGTGCGACCAGTTCCCCTTTCAGCAGCCTCCTGGACAGGGAACCTAGTGTGAGGAGTAGCGGGTACAAAGCCCAATGTTTGTTGGCTTTTTAAAAATTATTTATTTATTTTTGGCTGCATCGGGTCTTCGTTGCTGCGCGCAGGCTTTCTCTAGTTGCAGTGAGCGGGGGCTACTCTTCGTTGCGGTGCACGGGCTTCTCATTGGGTGGCTTCTCTTGTTGCAGAGCATGGGCTCCAGGCGCGTGGGCTTCAGTAGTTGTGGCTCACGGGCTCTAGAGCGCAGGCTCAGTAGTTGTGGCGCATGGGCTTAGTTGCTCTGCGGCATGTGGGATCTTCCCGGACCAGGGCTCGAACCTGTGTTCCCTGCACTGGCAGGCGGATTCTTAACCACTTCGCCACCAGGGAAGTCCCCAAAGCCCAATGTTTTCTGAAGCCTGGGGAGGCAGACCGGATGGACACGGGGCTTGAGCTGGGGTCTGGGGGGCAGAGCTGCTGCAGGGCCGCTAGGAGGTTGCCAGTCTCACGGAGGTCAGTCCTTGGGTCCCCCCCTTGCCCGCAGCCGTGGCTGTACTGTGCGGTGTGGGAAGTCCTGGCTGAGGGTGAAGATGCACAGGGACTTGTCTGGGACTGGCCCCCTGGTCCAGCCCGAGGAACTGACCCTGGACCATGGGCCTGCACCCCCAGCCCCTCAGACCCCCTCAAGGAGACACTCACCTCCGCTGTGGGGCTGCACGAGTGTGGCAGGCAAGAAAGGTGAGGGCCTGGGCACTAGAAGCCAAAAAATCACATCCTGGCCAGAGGCTGGACCGGACTCCCATGATGATCTGTGGGGCAAAAGGATAGGGTCTTCAACTAGCCCAGGGTCCCAGGGCTCTGGTCAGGGGTCTCCCCTTATGGGCTCAGTAACTTGGGCTGACCCTCCCAGCGCTGACCTGGGGCTTTCTCTCAGGCAGGGAGGAGGTCAGACAGATGAGGCCTGGGCTCCCCTGCTTGCCTCCACCTCCTTACGAAGCCTTCCCCTCTCCACCTGTGAGGTGTGTGGGGCTGGGACGAGCAGGCGCTCACCTGTGGACCGCTGACTCCTCTGCACCAGGTGGGCCTGGAGAGCCTGGTCTACATACAGTGCTCCAGCACATTCCACTAGCCACCGACCACCTTTTAATTCTTTGTTACTGGGGACCGTCCTACACCTTGTAGGATGTTTAGCAGTATCCCTGGCTTCTGCCCTCTGCCCTCTGGACGTCAGCAACACTCCCTAGTTGTGACAACTAAGAGTATCTCCAGACATTGCCAAATATCCCCCCGGAATACAAAATCACCCCCAGTTGAGAACCCCTGGCCTTAACACCTCTAGGACAATGTTGGGTCACAATGAGAGTGCGTTACTGATTCTGACTTTAACAGGAATACGTCTAGTATTAAAACATACACTAGTGGGACTTCCCTGGTGGTCCAGTGGCTAAGACTTCCTAATGCAGGGGGCCCTGGTTCGGTCCCCGGTCAGGGAACTAGATCCCATATGCTGCAACTGAAGATCCCGCACGTGGCAAGGAAGATCCCATTGTGCCGCAACTAAGACCTTGCACAGCTAAATAAATAAAATATTTAAAAACATGTACACTAGTATCTGTATACTCCTGTCCAGGACTAGCACACAAGTATACTCTATCAAAGTTTAATTTGAAAAAATGAAAAACGTGACTTTCATACAAGTGAAGGAATGCATGTCAAATATTTTATTCAATTAATGAGGGAACAGTAAGATGGTAAAGCTAACTCGAAGAACATTCTGAGAAGTATTTCTAGTGCACTGGCAAAGGCACTTTGAAGTGTGTGCTAAGTTAGAGACAAAACCTGCTAATTTCCCATGGGGCAATAAAACTCTAATCTTTGGGGTTAACTTTTCTATTGGACAGAAATCTGTGAGTTAACATAATTTCTCAGGTACATTTTCCTACATGAGTGGTTTTCGAAGTGTAGTCCCCAAACTGGAAATCTCAGCACACCTGGAACTTGTTGGAAATGCAGATTTTCAAGTCCCACCCGAGACCTATTTAATTAAAAACTCTGGGGGTGGGGCCCAACACTGTTTTAACAAGCCCAGCAGATGATCCTGATACGCTGTAAAGTCCGAGAACCACTGCCCTAAATAGGCAAATCATCTTTATTTGTGAAACAAATCTGTGAGCCAATGCTCCGGTATGACATTAAAAGGACAGGCCACCCACCTTTTTGCCTTATTTCCAAATTTAAATAATATGTCCCTTTGATGTTTGCGGTTTTGTTTTGCAAATACTCTATCAACTTAAGGCAGTTTTCATCTATTACTTTTTTTTTTCTTTTTAATAAAAAAAAATGGTTTCCCAAATGTATCATTTCTTTTCTTTAACCTACTGAGATGATGAAATACAAATGGAACTATTCTTATACTCTTAAAATTTTTTATTGATATGGTGTATTGTAACACACTCTTGACTTCAACATGATGATGTTTATGATTTTTAGAAAGCTCTTTATAAGTGAGATCAATTTTAGCAGGAATTAGTGTTCCATCTCTTTCTATTTAGGGAGCAGTTTAATTGCCATAGGCTCCATCTGTACTTTGAAAGCCTGCAACAATAAAACAAGCAGGGCCTAGTGTATGGGTGAGGGGCATGGAATTGAAGACAGATCTCAAACTGTTCAATTTCTTCTTTGGTTATTAGTCTATTCTCTAGTGTATTTTTGTTGTTGCTATTTTGGGTTTTTTTGTTTTTTCCTCTTCAAGTGAACATGGGAAACTTAGTTTTCCTAGACAAGCCATTAGCTCAAACTCACAAGTAAGCAGACTAATGCAATTTAAAGCAACCTATTTTTCTCCCATTAAGTTGGGAAAAATTAAGACAAACATCTGATGTTGGTGAAGCTGCAAAACAGTTCTCCTGAGGGTGTCAACTGTTCCAGGCCTTTTTGCTAGGCACCTTAAGGGATTCATCAAAATGAAATAAAATACCTAGGCACTTGAAGGAGATATCTGGGGTACTGGTAATGTTTCCTTATTTGGGTGCTGGTTACATGGGGTGTATGGTTTATGAAAATTCATTAAGGGGCTTCCTTGGTGGTGCAGTGGTTAAGAATCCGCCTGCCAATGCAGGGGACACGGGTTCCATCCCTGGTCCGGGAAGATTCCACATGCCGCGGAGCAGCTCTGCACGTGCGCCACACTACTGAGCCTGCGCTCTAGAGCCCGCAAGCCACAACTACTGAGCCCACGAGGCACAACTACTGAAGCCCGCGTGCCTAGAGCCTGTGCTCTGGAGCAAGAGAAGCCATCGCAATGAGAAGCCCGCGCACCACAACAAAGAGTAGACCCTACTCGCCGCAACTAGAGAAAGCCCGCGCACAGCAACGGAAGACCCAACGCAGCCAATAAATAATTAATTAAAAAAAGAAAATTCATTAAGCTCTGTGTTTACACTACGTACAATTTCCTGTATGTGCATTCTATTCCAATAAATTTTTAAAATACGTCTTTTGCCACAGCCCACAGCTGTATGTAATGGCATTGCTTACTGACGCAAAACACGGAGACGACCTGAATACCCCGGCAGAACGGAAGGCTCCCGCTCCCTTAAGGAGAACAAATTAAACGGTTTCTACTACCTCTTCCTACTGCTTTGGTTCTGTTCTCAGTTAACCTGGGGGTTGGCGCTGGCCCTTTCCAGGGAAAGGTTCTGGGGACTGAGAAAGGGACCCGGTATTCCGCCCCAACAGCTCGGAGCTGGCCGACTTGCTCCCGCCCCGATCCGAGGAGGCCTCCGCCCCCGCGCCCCAGCGTCACGTGACCGCCACATCACCTGACCCGGCGCGACCGGAAAGTGGAAGTCTTGGGCGCGGGCTTCCTGGCGCGATGGTGAGGGATGAGGGGTGATGCGAGGCAGTGGGTGCTGGGGGCGGGCAGAGTACGAGACCCCAAATCTCACCGCCGCGGCTGCGGGAAGGGTGGGGCGCCGGGTGCGAGGAGAGGGGAAGTCTGCCGGGCCTCTCAGCAGACACTTGGGTGCAGTCGTGAGGGCCGAGGCTCTGGTAGAAAAAAGCCTCCCTTCACCCTCCTCCCTGCAGGATGGGTAGGGCAGGGTGGGCCGGCAGGCTAGGAGTGCCTTGACGGAAAGGAAGGGCCCGCGCACCCCCGGGACACGAGCTGGGGCTTGTCCCTCCAGGCCTTCCTCTGCCCCAAGAGGCCCTCCCAAAGGTGCCCACTTCCCAGCGCTCCTGTGGGACCTGGAGAAAAACTTGCTTACAGTTAAGCTCAGTCTTCTGCACTGTTAGGAAGGCCCTTCGCTCTTCCCAGAGCCAGAAAGGAGTAGATTTGGGGTTGGGATTTCCCAACTCATACATCCATTCATTCCTTCAACAGGTTGTGAGTGCCTGCTGTATACCATGCACTGTGCCAGGCACTGAGACTTTGGCTGCAGGAGGGAAGGGCCAAGCTGGAAGTTTGAATGGGCAGTCATAGTTAAGACTTGAGGGGAAGGGACCAAACTCACCTTGTGCATAGTGTCAGGGAGGCGACCCAAGGATGACATCATATGAGGGCCTGGGAGCAGGGAAGAAAGCTAGCTGGGTGCAGTGCAGTTTGCGTATCAGGGGTTAGGAGGCATGGAGCAGGGCTGGTGGGAGGCTGTATCTTCAGACAGGGAACAGCATTCAAAGGCTTCAGGTGAGAGGGAGCATGGCTCCCTAGGAATGAATGCATTTCATCACCTGGAAGAGTAGAAACTGCAGGCTAGTGAAAGATGAAGCTCGACAGGTAAGCATAGACCAAAGCTTGCTGGGTCTTGAGAGCCACATAGAGGAGGTTGGACTTTAAGAAGAGGGTGCTGGGAAGCTAGGAAGAGCCTTTCAGCTGACTTGTGGAGGGAGCAAGAGAGGAACAGAGAGCCCAGCCAGGGGCAGCAGGCCCCCCAGGAGATGGTAGTGACTTGAGATATGGTGGAGAGAGTGGAGATAGAAGTGGGGGAAATCAGCAGGGCTCAGGGACTAAATGCATGAGGGAAAAAGGAGAGGGAGGGGTCTGGGCGTGGTTCCCAGGTGGTGGTGCTCACTGGGGTGGGGGCAGGTTTCAGCTGGAAGAGAACCAGTTACTTTGATACACGCTGAGTGAGGCGTCTGAGCTGCCAGGTGCAGCTGGCTAGGAGACAGTCTAGATTTAAGTGTCTGGAGCTCAGAAGAGAATCTACAATGGCAGTTATACATTTGGGAGTCATCAGCACAAAGATGATCATTGAACCCTGAAATGTGTAACCTGTCTCAGCCAGAATATTAGTTGGGAAGAGAGGACCTAGGACAGAACTCAGAGAAAAGCCAGCATTTTAAGAAATTGCACAAGGAACACGTGCTTATGGTAAAAAAGTAAATAATACAGAGATGATGGTAGAAGACTTCTGTGGGTAGAAGTCAGGGACCCATGAAGTTAGGAGAAATATTACCTCTCAATTTTGGCTGACCTCAAACTGAAATTTAGTATTTTCTTCAATTATGAGTGTTGGCAACCCACTATGATTAGCAGCACCTCTGACTGTCACTAATAGAAATCAGATATTTTCATATCACATTACAGCTGTTGGCATTGTTTACCTATTGTTTATGCTCATTTCTAAATTACTGTCATTATTTGACTTGAAACATATGTCACATCACCAATTTGTTTTGAATACTTTGATAACTTTTTTTTGCCACTCGACGCGGCTTGCAGGATCTACGTTCCCTGACCAGGGGTTGAACCCAGGGCCATGGCAGTGAAAGCCCAGAATCCTAACCACTAGGCCACAAGGGAACTCCCTATTTTGATAACTTTTAATTAGTTCCTTTTAGTATGGAGTTTTTCCTATGTATTTAAAAAAATATTTATTTGGTTGAGTCGGGTCCTCGTTGCGGCACGTGGGATCTTTCGTTGCAGAGCTTCTTGCAGTGCGCGGGCTTCTCTCTAGTTGTGGCGTGCGGGTTTTCTCTTTTCTAGTTGTTGTGTGGCCTCCAGAGCGCGTGGGCTCTGTAGTTTGTGACACAGGGCTCTTTAGTTACGGCACGTGGGCTTAGTTGCCCCGCGGCATGTGGGATCTTAGTTCCCTGACCAGGGATCGAACCCACATCCCCTGCATTGGAAGGCAGATTCTTTACCACTGGACCACCAGGGAAGACCCTCCTGTGTATTTTTTACATCTAAAAACATCATTTTGGGAAAAGCCTATAGACTTCACCAGATGCCTGATGAGTCGATGCCACAAAATGGGTAAAAACTCCTGAAATAGGAGAAGAAGTACAAGGCTGTCCTTAACACTCCCACCACCTCACCAGCAGTCCTAGTCCCCTGCCCCAGAATAATGACAGTAGGCAGTCTGCAGGGATCACCATTTGGGGCTGGAGAAAGGAGGGTGAGCCAGAAAATGAGACAGAGGCTAGGCCATAGGGAGAAATCCAGAAGAGTATGTGGCTTCAGGAAGAAGGATGTGTTTGTGTCAGATGCTGCTGAGGAGTTAAGGAAGAGGAAGACTAGATTTAGTGAAGAAAGTCATTTGTGACCATGGCTAGAGAACTTCATTGGAGGCCCATGTAGAAGCCCCAGGGCAGTGGAGTCAGGTGTGATCAGGGGGATGACAGGTGAAAAGGATTGGAGGTTGAAGGGTCATGGAGCAGGTCTGAAGTGATTGATAAGGTGAACGATGGGGCCAAGTAGAGGACATGGGATTATGGGGCTGCACTGAGGGCCCAGCAGAATCAGGAGAACGTGGACTGACCGTGTACCCAGTTTGTGGGTTTTGTTCCCATCATCTGTAAGCAGCCCAGACAGAGGCGTGGGAAGATGAACATGTATATTGCTGTGCGTTAGAGCTTTGCCACAGAAACAGGACAAAGGACAGTTGATCGGGGGGTGGACGATATTGTCAAGATGTGGTTAACCAGGTGGGTTTGCATCCTGACAGAGGAGATGGGCCTTGAATAAGTAATAAAACGTGATATATTCTGTGATAAATGCCATGGAGATCAAGAAGGAAAGATAAACAGCTAAAGCATGATGGTGAAGAGCTGTTTTATTTTTTTTTAACAGCTTCCTTGAGATAATATCGACATAAAACAAACCATGTGTGTGCAAATATATGGTTCAATAAGTTTCGATGCATATATGCTCATGAAAACATTACCATGATCAAGATAATGAATACATCCACTGACCCCAAAAATTTCCTTGTGTAAGGGGCTATTTAAGAAAGCAAAGTCAGAGAAAGTCCATCAGAAGAGGTGTCATTTGAGCAGAGACCTGAGTGAAGTGAGAGAGCAAGCCACGTTTAATCTGCAACAGGAGCAGCAGGGAGGCCAGTATGGCTGGAGCTGGGGAGGGAAAGGAGGAGAAGGTGAGATGGTCACGCGCACCCTGAGGCCAGGTACTTTGTTGTGTTCCATGCTGCACCCCCAGCGCCTAGAGTGGGCTCTCCCACGGAGAAGGTGCCCAGTCATGTCTGCTGGGACAGCCATGAGCACAAGGTTTGGTGGCAGTGTGAGTCAGGCAGAGGGTTCTCCAAACAGCCTGGTACTGGGGGAGAAGACGTGGGCCGGAGGGCACGCATCTTGGACAGGCAGCAGGAACCCTGAGGAGCAGTGGCGTGGGAGACACCTGGCCATACGTCAGCCGGCCCTCCAGCCTGACCACCTACCTTACTCCCTTGCAGAGGTTCCGGTTCTGTGGTGACCTGGACTGTCCTGACTGGGTCCTGGCAGAGATCAGCACGCTGGCCAAAATCGTTGAGTGCATGGGGTCTTGGGGGTGGGGGCTCTGAGGGTGGAGGGTGGGGAGGTCACTCTTGGGCTGGGGCCTCAGCGCTTTCGGGCTGTCCGAACATGCTGTGTGACTGGTCAGGTATGTGGCCAGCCTTCTCTGAGCCAGCCCACCAGCATGGAGGGGTGAGGTGGGTCAGTCTGGCTGATGTAAGGCCTTCCCCTCCAGTCCTCCGTGAAGCTGAGGCTGCTGTGTAGCCAGGTGCTGAAGGACCTTCTGGGACAGGGGATTGACGTGAGTGCAGGGCCCCGCACTCCACTATCCCATGACCCTGTGACCCCCACTGCCCTGAAAGTGCACCAGACCCAGGGAGACGGGTGATCAGCTCCCACCCTCCCTAGATACCTCGTGTCCTTACCACAGGATCCAGGCCAGGGGTTGGGGGCTAATGAGCGGGGGTCCAGCACCCCTTGAGGGCCTCCTTTCTCCACAGTATGAGAAGATCCTGAAGCTCACCGCTGATGCCAGGTTTGGTGAGTACCCCACTGGGTCCGCAGACCTTTGGGCAAACCCGGGTATTCAGCCTGGGGCCCGGCACAGAGGCCCCTCCTCCCAACAGCCCACTCTGACCCACCTGCCTCAGCAGAGGAGCATGAGGGAAGAAAGACATTGCCAGCCCTAGGGTCCTCTGCCCACTCCCAGTGGGGCAGTAGCGGTGCTCATGGCTCAAGGAGGCCTGGAGGCTCTGAGCTGAAGATAGTGGGGTGTCAAGGAGGTGGCTGGGGCCACAGTGACACCCCCCATTCCACCCACGGCTCCCCCCAGAGTCGGGTGATGTGAAGGCCACAGTGGCAGTGCTGAGTTTCATCCTCTCCAGTGCGGCCAAGCATAGCGTGGATGGCGAGTCCTTGTCCAGTGAACTGCAGCAGCTGGGGCTGCCCAAAGGTACAGGGATGAGAGCAGGCAGGTGGGTAACCTGTGGGCCAAGGGGTGCCAGGCAAAGGTCAGGCTGTGTGACCCTGAGATGCACCTTGCCCTCTCTGGGCCAGGAGCCTGAGACCTGCCCTTTGAGTGGCCTAAGCCCCAGCACCCACCTGCTAGCTCAGGGGACCTCCCTTCGGCCCCCAGAGCATGCAGCCAGCCTGTGTCGCTGTTATGAGGAGAAGCAAAGCTCCCTGCAGGAGCACCTGCGGGCCTGCAGCTTGCGAGGTGAGTGTGGGGTGCCCGGGTGGGGGCTGGGCTCCATTCTAGAAGGTGCATGTGGCTTGGGAGGTGTTTGTCCTCAGAAAGGAGACTTAACCACATCACATGTCGAGCAGTCACAGAGCTGGGATTCCTGACACCAGCCCCGGTTTCTTTCCTCTGAGATCTGCTATGGGTAATCTGAGCTCCTGGATCAGAGGGATGAGAGCTTCTCAAAGGCCACATAGCCCTGAAGGGTTCAGGGCTGAACCAGGGTATGGGCTAGGGCTGCCTGGCTCCCCTGTCTGTGACCCTGAGCCCCTTTCGGTCTTGCAGTGAACAGGCTGACAGGCGTGGGCTGGCGGGTGGACTACACCCTGAGTTCTAGCCTGCTGCGGTCCGTGGAAGAGCCCATGGTGCACCTGCGGCTGGAGGTGGCAGCTGCCTCGGGTGCCCCGGCCCAGCCTGTTACCATGTCCCTCTCAGCAGACAAGTTCCAGGTCCTCCTGGCAGGTGAGGCTCAGCTGTATACCTGGAGGGTAAGGGGCCCTCCCAGATCCTGCCTAATTACCGCCTGCCTACCTACCTCTTGCCCCTGCAGAACTGAAGCAGGCCCAGACCCTGATGAGCTCCCTGGGTTGAGAAGAAGAGCTCACGGGGCCCATGTGGAGCTGCCCTCCGAACTTCTCTTCAGGGGCTGCCCCAGCTCCAGGACCCTAGGGGCCTGGCCTCCTGCATGTCTGGCTTCCTAGGTTACCACCTGAGAATTCAGCCTAGGGATCCTGAACACTCTTGCAGCATTGTCTTCCCTCCCCCATGAAAGGCACATGTCAGTGGTTTTCATGAGAAGGAAGAATAAACAGAGGTGTAAAGAAGTGTGTGCATGGATTTCTTTTGGGTTCAGATCAGAGGTTTTCAGGAGAGAGACCAAGTGACATACTGACCTCCCTGACCTATTGCACGTTTTCTTTTTTCTTTGCTCAGCTGCTGATTGAGGCAGGTCAGGGTTGAGGCAGAACGAGAGCCAAAATGAAACAGCTTGTCTGTAGACAGGAAAATCAGGGTTCTAGCTCCCAGTCCTATGATGCTCTTGACTCTGCCCTCTCTGTGCTGGCCCTGTCCTTAGGCTGGCAGCAAGTGGTTGGCCCCAACACCAGATACCCCAGGTAGAGAAAGGAGAGAGCCCTTGCCTCTCTGTCATCTTCTTTAGGAAGAGAGAAGGCCCATGCCGGAACCACTCACTGGCAAGTGGAATGGGATAATGGGCTGAATGTTTGTTTGTGATGCACCCATTCCCCACCCCCTGCCAAATTCATATGTCTAAGCCCCCACTCCCAGTGAGATGGTTTTAGGAGGTGGGGCTTTGGGGAATAATTAAGTTCAGATGAAGTCATGAGAGTGGGACCCTTGTGATGATTAGCACTCTTATAAGAAAAGGAAGACAGACTCTCTATACCGTGGAAAGGCCATATGAGAACATAGGGAGAAGACAGCTGTCTAACAAGGCAGGAGAGAGCCCTCACCAAGAACTGATTCTGACTCGAACTTGGACGTCCCAGCCTCTAGAACTACGAGAAATAAATGTCTGGTTTTTTGGATTTTTTTTAAAAAAAAATAAATTTATTTTTTGGCTGTGTTGGGTCTTCACTGCTGTGTGCAGGCTTTCTCTAGTTGTGGAGAGCGGAGGCTACTCTTTGTTGCGGTGCACAGGTTTCTCATTACAGTGGCTTCTCTTGTTTCGGAGCACAGGCTCCAGGGCACGCAGGCTCAGTAGTTGTGGCTCACGAGCTCTAGAGTGCAGGCTCAGTAGTTGTAGCACACGGGCTTTGCTGCTCTGCGGCATGTGGAATCTTCCTGGACCAGGGCTCAAACCCGTGTCCCGTGCATTGGCAGGCGGATTCTTAACCACTGCGCCACCAGGAAAGTCCCTAAATGTCTGTTTTTTAAGCCACCCAGTCCATGGTGTTTTGTTATAGCAGCCTGAACAGACTAAGACAAATGGCCTCCCAGGACTGGCTTAGGCCAGCTAGGGTCCCTTGTAGAACAGACTGATTCCAGGTGTGGGGCAGGGAGAATACAAGGTAAGCCTAGAACATCTCGGGATCCAAGGAAGCTATCAAAGAATAATAAGTAATGTCAACAGGAGCCAGCTCATCCCACTGGCTAAAGATGGGACAATTTAAGCATCAAAGATATAAGGACTCACTCCCCTCCTGGCTTCTGCTTCTGGAGAAATGGAGCAGATGGGCTTTTCTCTGTTCCTTCCACTAAGTTCAGCTAAAAACCTTAGACGTTATATATAAAACAAACATAAGATTATGAAAGGTGACGAGAAGAAGGCAGACTGGCTAGACCTCAAGACCTGAAGAACAACACAGCAGAGAATTCCTTAGATTTTCTTTTTGCTTCATGTATCCCAAGCTGGGAGCTGGAGAAGCCATCCACCTAGAAACAACACACAGACAAAGGAAGGCCCAACAAAAGCCTACTCTCTCTAGGCAAAGGACCGGGAAAAGGACAGTCCAGCAGGACAGAAAAAGTTACAGACAGTAACGGCTGTACTCCAGCCACACCCTGCAGAACTGCAGCCCTTCTTCGACCCCTGACTGCAAAGGCTGAGTGGAAGCCTAGACTCCCACCCCATCCAGCAATAAGGAGGTGGCATACCCCTTTCCCCACTGATACTGTGTCAGAGGAGCCCTGCTAAAAGAGAAGATTTAAATAAGATGCAGTCTCATAATACCCAAAATGTCTAGGATTCAATTTAAAAAATCGTTGTACCAAGAACCAAGAAAATCTCAACGTGAATGAAAAAAGACAACAAATGCCAACACCAATATGACTCAGCTGTTAGAATTCTATGCTAAGGATTTTAAAACAGCTATCATAAAAATGCCTCAAGTCTCAGCAGAGAAACAGAAGATATAAAGAACCAGATAAAAATTTTAGAACTGAAAACTACAATAACCCAAGTAAAAATCTCAATGGGTAGACTTAACAACAGAAGAAAGAATCAGTGGATTTGAAGCTAAATCAATAGAAATTACCCAGCCTGAATAACAGAGAGAAAATAGTTTGGAAAACAAACAACAACAACAACAAAACAATAAAACAGAGTTTCAGGGACCTGTAGGACTATAACAAAAAATCTAGTATTTGTGTTGTCAGAGTCCCAGAAGGTGAGGAGAAAGAAGGTAGGACAGAAAAAGTATTCTAAGAAATAATGGCTAAAATTTTCCAAAATATTGCAAAAGACACAAACCTACAGAGTCAAGAAACCGAATGAACTCCACACAGGTTGAACCCAAAGAAATCTATGTCAAGGTACGTCATAATCAAACTTCTGAGAACTAAAGAAAAAAAATTTTGAAAGCAGCAAGAGAGTGATGACACCTTACATATAGGGGGGAAACAATTCGAATGACTGAATATCTCATCAGAAACCACAAAGGCCAGAAACAAAAAGCGCAACACGTTTCGGGCCCTGAAAGAAAAGAAGTGTCAACCCAGAATTTTATATTCAGCGAAAATCACCTCAAGAGTAAAGGGGGAGTAAAAGAATGAAATTAGAACATTTTTCTCACACCATATACAAAAATAAACTCAAAATGGATTAAAGACCTAAATGTAAGACTGGATACCATGAAACTCGAAGAAAATGTAGGCAGAACACTCTGACATAAATTGTAGCAATATTTTTTTGGATCTGTCTCCTAAGGCAAAGGAAACAAAAGCAAAATTAAACAAATTGCACCTAATTAAACATAAAGCTTTGGCACAGCAAAGGAAACCACTGACAAAATGAAAAGACAATCTACAGAATGGGAGAAAATATTTGCAAATGATATGACCGATAAGGGGTTAATATTCAAAATATATAAATAGCTCATACAATTCAATATCAAAAAAAAACAAGCAACCCAATTAAAAACTGGGCAGAAGACCTGAAAAGATATTTTTCCAAAGAAGACATAGAGATGGCCAACAGGCATATGAAAAGATGCCCAGCATCACCAATTATTAGAGAAATGCAAATCACAACCACAATGAGATATCACCTCACACCTGTCAGAATGACTATCATCAAAAAGACCACAAATAACAAATGTTGGTAAGGATGTGGAGAAAGGGGAACCCTTGTACATTGTTGGTCTGAATGTAAATTGGTGTAGCCACTGTGAAAGCAGTATGGAGGTTCCTCAAAAAACTAGCAATAGAACTACAATGTAATCCAGCATTCCTACTTCTGGGTATTTATCTGAAGAAGACAAAGACACTAATTCAAAAACATACATGCACCCCAATGTTCATAGTGTGTGTGTGTGTGTGTGTGTGTGTGTGTGTGTATGTGTATATATATATATATATATATATATATATATATGATATCACTCAGCCATAAGAAATAATTAAATTTTGCTATTTACAAAAACATGGATGGACCTGGAGGGTATTATGCTTAGTGAAATAAGTTAGAGAAAGACAAATAGTGTATGATATCACTTATATGTGAAATCTAATAAATGAAATGAATGAATATAACAAAACAAATAGACTCACAGATATAGAGAACAAACTAGTGGTTACCAGTGGGGAGACAGAAGGGGGAGGGGCAAGATAGGAATAGAGGATTAAGAGGTACAAACTACTATGTGTAAAATAAATAAGCTTCAAGGACATATGTACAGCACAGGATATATAGTCAATGTTTGATAATAACTTTAAATGGAGTATAATTATAAAAATATTGGATCACTATGTTGTACACCTGAAACTAATATAGTATTGTAAATCAACTATACTTCAATTTGAAAAGTGACAAAATTGTAAGGCATTTTAAAAAAGAGTAAAGGGGGAAATCAAGACATTCACAGATGAAGGATAACTAATATAATTTGTCACCAGCAGACCTAATCTAAAAATAAAAAGGCTAAAAGGAAACCATAAACAAAACAAAAAGACAACCCACAGCATGGGAGAAAATATTTGCAAACGATGTGACTGACAAGCGATTAATCTCCAAAACATATAAACAACTCATGCAGTTCAATATCAAAAAAACAAACAGGGCTTCCCTGGTGGCACAGTGGTTGGGAGTCTGCCTGCCAATGCAGGGGACACGGGTTCAAGCCCTGGTCCGGGAAGATCCCACATGCCGCGGAGCAACTGGGCCTGTGCGCCACAACTACTGAGCCTGTGCTCTAGAGCCTGCGAGCCACAACTACTGAAGCCTGCGCACCTGGAGCCCATGCTCCGCAACAAGAAAATCCACTGCAACGAGGAGCCGGCGCACCGCAGTGAAGAGTAGCCCCTACTCGATGCAACTAGAGAAAGCTGGTGCGCAGCAACAAAGACCCAACGCAGCCAAAAAAATAAAATAATAAAGTAAATAAATATATAAAAAAAATTGTTAAAAAAAAACAACCCGATGAAAAAATGGGCAGAAGATCTAAATAGACATTTTTCCAAAGAAGACACACAGATGGCCAAAAAGCACATGAAAAGCGATGCTCAACGTCGCTAATTATTAGAGAAATGCAAATCAAAAGTACAGTGAGGTATCACTCCACACCAGTTAGAATGGCCATCATCAAAAAGTCTACAAACAATAAATGATGGAGAGGGTGTGGAGAAAAGGGAACCTTCCTACACTGTTGGTGGGAATGTAAATCGGTACAGCCACTATGGAGAACAGTGTGGAAGTTCCTTAAAAAATTAAAAACAGAGCTATCATATGATCCAGCAATCCCATTCCTGGGGACATATCCAGAGAAAACCATGATTCAAAAAGATACATGCACCTCAGCGTTCACTGCGGCACTATTTACAATAGCCACGTCATGGAAACAACCTAAATGTCCATCAACGGATAAAGAAGGTGCAGTACCTATATACAGTGGAATATTACTCACCCATAAAAAAAGAATGAAATAATGCCATTTGTAGCAACATGGATCAACCTAGAGATTATCATACTAAGTGAAGTAAGTCAGACAAAGAAAGACAAGTGTCATATGATATTACTTATATGTGGAATCTAAAATATGATACAAATGAACTTATTTACAAAACAGAAACAGAGTCACAGATGTGGAAAACAAACTTATGGTTACCAAAGGGGAAAGGTGGGGGGGGAGGGATAAACTGGGAGGTCAGGATTAACATATACACACTACTATTTATAAAATAGATAATCAACAAGGACCTACTGTATAGCACAGGGAAGTCTACTCAATACTCTGTAATAACCTATATGGGAAAGGAATCTGAAAAAGAATAGATATATGTATATGTATAGCTGAATCACTCTGCTGTACACCTGAAGCTAACACAAAATTGTAAATCAACTATCCTCCAATATAAAATAAATTTTTTTTTAAAAAAAGGCTAAAGGAGGATCTCCAAACAGAAAGGAAATGATAGAAGAA